ACACACACACACACACACACACACACACACACACACACACACACACACACATACACACACACTTCACAAATACCACTCATCCCTTGCAATACACCTTCTCCACCGGCAAACGTGATTTTGTGTCCCCCACCCCCACCCCTGCTCTGTTGCACAGGTCTTCCTTATTTTATTCTATGTTTGTATGTTGTATGTTGTATGTTTGTTTGTTTGTTTGTGCTGAAATGTGATTGCCTTCTGGGACGTATAAAGCAAATGTTAGCACATTACACAGTCATTACTTTTATGCAGTTTGTTATCTTATTACTTAGTTACACTTAAACCAGTTAGACAGGCATCAATGATTAGTACTTAGAAACTAAACCCAGAGGTTAATAAACAGAAAGCATGTTATGATGTCTTAGATTACACTGAATTTTATATATACTGCCTATCTGTGTTATGATGTACTGCCTGTCTTTTCTTTCTCTCTTTTTACTTGTTTATATCATTTGTTAAATCACGTAAAGCACCTTGTATCACCTTGATGCTGAAAAGTGCTATATAAATAAAATTTACCTTACAGTAAGCTGACTGTAGAAGCTGCTGCTGCATTTTTATCTTTKAACTTTGTAATTGATTTATTATGTACAAGCATGACAACTTTTACTTTTATGTTTTTAAATACCAACATTTCAAAATAACACCTCTTACAGCTGTAATCAGAATACTGCAAAACCCTCATATTATTGCCTATTGTTATCATTAATATAGAAAAAGAAGCAACTACAAGCTACTTATCTACTGATTTCTTAATGGAAACAGTTTAAGTGGATCTAGTTTGTTCTAAAAGGTTTTCTTCATTTTGGCTTGGTTTTTTTGTTAAAGAATACCATGGTGTTGAAGAAATTTATTTAGTTATTTAGAAACTGATTTTAGAAGCACCACACCATATTCATAGTTTTTCTTTTTAAGTATTGATTCTTATAATCTATTGTTTGACTATTGTTATGTCTTGATTAAAATAGTTTTAGATACATGCGTGAAACATCATGACAACACATAATAAACCGTTAAAAAAACATTAGGAGAGCATTGCTGTTCAGAGTGTCTGTGATTCAGCCGTAGGCCTGTGGTGGGGGTACCAGGCACTGAAGAACCATATATTTATAGACKGGAACTTCCGGTTTCGGGCAGTGCAGCTTTGCTTGCTTCAGCTGTAAGCAATAAATCTACGCTCAGAACCAGATCTGGGGTTGTATGGTCCATTCTCTTCACAATTTTAATCAGATTCAACATTTATGTGATCTCGTCACAATTTCAGTTAACGAACACTAAATTTTCTTACAGTGTGGTACGGTCTGTGTTGTTCTTTATCTGAGGTTATATTTACCTCATTTTAGGACATGGAAAAGACCAGACTTCATTTTCGGTTAGGGAATAGCCTGATTCGAATAGTCTTACAGTTAAAATACCTACCGTATTTTTCACAGTATTTATTAAATTGTAAGAAAACAGGCATTGAAAGCTGAGTAACTTGAATGTCTCCTATGAATGGATCCTATGATTCCAGCTTTGTTGGCTCTAAAGGCTCAGTCTGCAGTAAGCATGGTGCTGTGATAAAACCAGATGATGTGTCCACCAGAAACAAAACTATAAAACTAACTAATCACTTACCTTTAACATTTTTTATTTACTTTTAAGTAAACTGTAATACCAGCACGTGTCCTATCATGTAAAAGTCACTTTTATATCACACAAGACTGACATACAGAAGTGATGGTTGACTCTGTGAAAGCATGATGACAATAGATTTTTTTTATGACGCCAGCTTTCAGGGTCTGACACAGTCAGAAAAAGACTCACCCTTGAGTGAAATGGTCTGAGCAGGTTTGAGAAGTGGTTGACTTGTGTGGCGTGATGGTCGTGGCCACAGTTTCCACCTTTAATTGGCAGCTCCTCGGCACTCAGCAGTGAGTGGTGAGAAGAACTCACACCGTTAATTGGCTCCAGGTAGAAGGTGTCACTAGAATTCAGTGATATCAGACCCCTGTATGACAGGAAATGTGAGGAAACAAAACAAAGAATGAGAGACATGCCAGGAGGAAAAGTGAAAGTGGAACAAAGACTGACTCAGTTCCATCCTGAAAGTCCAGAAATTAGAAAAACAGTTGGATGTCAAACAACGCTACATGCAACATTATCCTTTACAAAACATTGTCTGTTATTTTTAAAGTTATGCAAACTTAAAATTAAAATTAAATGCACAGTATTCACTGAAGAGAAAGAAACCTTGAAAATAAAGATATACTCATTCAAATGAATTATCACAAGATGGATCTCTGCTAATAGAACAYTTTTAGCCATTTTTGTGTTGGCTCATATCAGGTTGTCATCTTAATTTTGTTTGAATCAAATAAATAGTTGTAGATTTACAACCAATAATTATACTACTTTCCAAAAGATTTGCTATAATCTATTTGATGGTTCAGGAGATTTTTTACTAACAGACAACTAGGACTAACTGATAAGGCATGCCAMTGTCATCTGCTTACATAAATAGAATCTGTGATACCTGAAGGGGTGTAAACTTCTTGAAGGGATGATTCATCTCATAGTGGATAATTTCAATCTAAAAGTTCTCATAACTTAAAAATATTTGAATTAATCAAATCAAGGGCCAAAGGAACACTTATAATCTAAGACCAGGCAAGGGAAGGTGTAGGAAATTGCTTTATGCCATCAGCAAGTGGTAGTGACTCTGAACAGGCGTATCAGAAAGTGACAATCTGATGGTCCATGTCCAGTGTACGCTGCAGTCAGCTTTCAGTTTTTCTTCCACAGCTGCTGCTTTCTGTCTACTAATTCAATCTGTTTTCTAAAGCCATAAGCAATATTGTTTTCCACAATTGTGGCCATAAATCCACACCATTGTCCTATACTTAACAGTGATTGCTTCTCAGGCCTCATGTCTGATGGCCTTCTTAGACTCCAGACTCCATCTACAACAAATGAAGTAGTGGTGCAGTCAATCTACAGTGCAAGTTGACAATCTGATCTTTGGGTCCTCAGTGTCACTGGTCAAAATGCTTTGCTGCCAAAGTCCTCATTGGTTTTGTAACTTAATGAATACTGACATGATTGACACAGCATTGTATGCAGGTGTGTAAGAACCAAACAGTACAACACTTTGATGAACCTAGTCATGGTTAAAATACAATACAAGGGAGGACCCTTGACCATTTGACTGTTGTGCAGTTACTGATTTTAAGATGCACAAATTGATTAAATTAAAATGAATGACTCAGGGTCATTTTTTTGGACCTCTGAGCACAAATGGGTCAAGTATTACACAAAGGGGAATTAGGAGGAACTATGCATTGCCAATGTGTCATCAACACATTGGAGGTCCTTGGAACTAGAGCATTTCAGAGAGAGCTGGCTTACAGGTCGGGCATTTTACAGTCTTCCGTGAGTTTTACCAAACCCCAGAGTGCCTCTGTGCTTACATTAATTATCTTAATAAACATATGCATAAAGTTCAAATGTCTCAGTTTTAGAAGTGTACCGCAGGCAYATTTGCACTTCTGCTGCACTTTATTTCAGGTAGTTTATGTACAGTAAGTGGTGTCAAACATTATGAGAGAGGTGATGGACAGCCGCCCTTCTCTTTCCTCCCACCTTTCTGTGTGATCGTTTTAACCTTTTTATTCCGTGCTCTGCTCTGACAGCAGCAGCMTCATACACACCATCACTCTTCTTTGCGTTTGGCACAAATGCCAGAGGATGGTGTTCCAAATACTTTTTCATGCTTCACTACATTCTTTAAAATCATTTCTGACTCAGACTACATGAAATCCCTTATTTTCTTACTTCTAYACAAGTTTTGATTGTACAGAAAAGAAACCCACATGTGCAGGACATGTTTACATCTATTTGTAAATTTAAATCAATGTGTGTCAGGGGAGGAGTTTTATGTGTTTCACATACATTGAGATGGGAAAGAAAGGTGCACAGAAACATGAGTGTGCAAGGTTTGATTATTCTAAATTTTAGACTGAGTATACGCAAACCTTTAGCATGAAGCTGTGCACTCTTTCACACAGAAGMCCCTGGAACTTTGACCTGAGTTCTGTGTTGCATAGGAAGCCAACGCAGACAGAGGAGCAAAGGCGTAATAAAAGAACAGTTTAAGGTTTTTGTCAGAAGTTAGAAGCTGCAATTTGTAGCAGCTGCAGAAACAAAACCATTAACAATAATTAAAACTCAGTTTACTGATGTTTCTTAACTAAAAAAATAGACAAAAACATCAATTTAGACAAATGATCAAGTGAAAGATTCCTATCAGAAGTTTAATGGTGGGTTTACTGTAAGTAGAAAGTAAACTTAGGTTTCCAACAATCTTAAGGATCAAATTATCTGGAGAAAATTATCAGACAACTAGCGTGGACATTTTTTAGAACCCAAAAGGGGGCCCGGCAGAAAAKGTTCGGGAAGCACTTGTATAAAGGGAGCAAATGAAGCACAAATAAAAAAGGGCTGAGAACACAACCCTGTGGAACACCGTGTTTAAGAGTAACTGAGAAAATTTGAAAATTGGATTTGGCAACAGAAATATTTCTAAAAGATAAAAAGAAACAAACCAGGCCAGAGCTGTAGCAYACATGCCTGTCCAGCACCTCAGCAGCACTCGAGTCATAAGCTGAACTTAAATGTAGGGTCATTAGAACTGCAGATTCTACTGCGTCCCTGCACAGTAATGTCATTAGAGGCTCAGAGGAGAGCAGACCCTGTTTGAGCTCTACGAAAAGCAGACTGAAATTTATACAACAGCAGCCGACCAAGAGGCGACGGCAGCCAACCCAGGCGATGCAGAGGAGACGGCACGACTTAGGAAACTTGGGAATTGCCGCCCACTGAGGTGACTCAGGAACCGCCAACTCAGGAGACTCAGGAACAGCCAACTCAGGAGACTCAGGAACAGCCAACTCAGGAGACTCAGGAACAGCCAACTCAGGAGACTCAGGAACCGCCAACTCAGGAGACTCAGGAACAGGAAGCGGCAGCTTAAGAATAGGATAGGTGGAAGAGTGGGTACCAAATCGCTCAGTCAAAACCCTCCCGACATAGGCGAGGACCCTCTGGTGGCCAGGCAGGAACAAAAGATTGAGGCGTCCAACCAGAACGCCCTTGATCTGCRGGCAGAGGAGCTGTTTCGTTGTGGGGGTGAGGGACCACCGGAGGATCATTAGAGATCCCCCGATCAGGGGATGTGTCCCCTATTCCTCCCATGGTGGCAAAAATGGAACTGGCTCCTCAGAGGTAGGGGAGGGAGAACCGGCGGTGAAGAACCCAGGTGACAGAGCTCCACCACCCTCCTCAACAAGAGGCAGACCAGAAAAAAACTGCCTGCAGGCTGGGCACTGTGGTTTGATCCTTCTGTGAGGTGAGAGAGATATTGACCCAGGGTGCAGGCAAAAAAATCCAGAGTGCAAAAGATTTATTAAACAAAAAGTCTGGCAGGGCAGCTCAAAAGGTACTTACAAATAAATTTTTCAGGAGAGCAAGAACACATTGCACATGGGAGAACAGCACACTGGCTGGGGTTGACAGCACAATGATCAGACACAGACTGAGGACAAGACACCAAAAGGGAAACCAATGAGAGACAACAAGAAACACCRGGAGGAGACACAAGAGGAAACAGGTGAGTGTGGGCGGGGCTAGAGGCATGACAGCAGGACAGACACACAGGAAAACACAGGAAAACTAAGGTAGAAAAGACACAGACCATGACAAATTGTAACAATAAAAACGAAGCTTTAAGATGGGCCTGTAGTTACTCAGAGATGAMAACAACAATAACAGCAGTTTTAAAAGCTGTTTGGACCTGAACTAAATTCAAAGAGCAGGTAATTAATTATAAAATATGTGACCCAAGCTGACAAATGAGTTGGAATGAGTGGATATGCAGTGCAAAACAATGAAAATGTTGATTTTTGCCATAATTGAGAGTTGCATGAAAAAAATTYTCCATGAAGACACCATCTAGAAATCCAAGTAGCTAAAACAGAATTAAATCACCCTAATCTTCCTCTAAATCAAAGTTTTTTTAACAGATTAGTCTTTTAATTAATTTAATTTAATTTAATTTAATTTAATTTAATTATCTGAATATTACCAGCGTTTCCCCTACCATTATTCAAGGGCCCGCCCCTCCAAGAATTTCGTGGCATGTAGTCATTTTTACTTAAATATTGCCAGATCAAGTCGATAGCTATTTTTGTGCCCCTCCACATCCACCACTCGCCAAACTTGGTGGGAAAAAAGGACGAGGCAGAGCGGGGCTGAGTGCTGTGTGTGTGGTCCTTACAAAGATAGAAAGACGTGTGTGTGTGTGAGATTAGACACGCAATGAAAGCTCCACTTTTTTGTATCACGTAGCACGGATGCAACAGCTTTGCAAGCTACTTTTTCTTTCTTAAAACGAAAATGTGACYGGTGAAGCGCTCACACACCGCAGGTCAGACAGTCCCTTTCAGGAGTATTAACCTTTAGGGCCCAGATTATAATCTGTCTTTAAAATGTGGTAAATAAATTATTTTCAGTGATTGAGAGCAAGCTTTTTGACAGTTGCATTTTTTAACTGTTTTCTTTTATATCTACAAGAGTTGGGTTCTACTAGAGTTCTGATGATTATTAGAAAGGACATGATTTGAGGTTTTTACTGATAATAGTTTCTTTAAAACATGTTACAGAAGTAAAAAGAAGCAGGTTCATTTTGAATAAAACACTACAAACGTGTTCATTTACAAAATTAAAATATATTTACAAAATCCACTAAACTGCAGATTAACATAAAATAAATCTTGTTTTATAATTAAATGTCTGTTTCATGTTATGAAGAAAAATACTCCTGTCCTCCTTGTTCCTAATCAGGGTCAGGGTGGGACTGGAGTCTGTCCTAACTGTCTGTGGGTGAAGGCAGGGGACACCTGGACAGGTCTCCAGTTCACCAGAGACACCTGGACAGGTCTCCAGTTTTCATCA